TTCTTCTCAATCATTTATGGAAGTGCCAAAAAGCCTGATGACAAAAAAAAGTAGAGAGGACGAGCAAATTTCGGCAGGTTTAAGTCAAGCTCATCGCCGCTCGCAAGCAAAATGTCAGCTAGCACAAACCAGTTACATTAAACGAATTAAAGTTTTCTTCTTTGCCATATAATAAACATCTTATTAACCGAGCTAAGTCGGTCTGTATGGGNAGAATCTTGACCTCGGTCGTGTGTACAGACCTCACTGCGTTCGGTCTGTACTCACGACCTCGGTCAAGACTCTCCCATACAGACCTCCTGCTCGGTTAATGAGAGCTAATTATTAGACTGCAACTCTCCGGATGCGTTGGAAAATAAAACATATGTATTCTTGTAATTTTTGAACGAAATAAATCGAATAAAGAATTTTGTCATTCTAAATTACTTATAAAAGCTAATTAAAATGTGACAATAGCGGAGGAAGTACATTGACGACCGCTGATTTTCGCAGGCTCACAGCACACTTACAATGCAGGAACTGTTTTTTCCTCGGCAGTATTTAGTATTTGGACTTTCGTTGGCATCCTTGATAGATGCTCCTGGTGTAAGAATAAAACAAAAACTTTCTATCAAAACCAATAGAGATTGCTGTTGATGTCAAAGCAATTCCATTCTTAGTACTTGATCTCAAAAAATTGCAACGAGGTTCCTCACTTCACGTTGTTAGTGTCGCATCAGCGATGCTGTGGTTTTAAACAGTCCGTGAACGGTTACTACTTGGCTACGTAGAAATCGTTTTTTAAGATTTTTTATGAACAATAATGGCGCCGTTCTAGCTATGCTTTTAAAAGAAAAGTAGGGTTTTTCATTCTAAAGGGCTCCATGCTGTTTTGCAATAGAGAGTACTTAAAATGTCATGTAGCACTGTGATGGCTGTAGCGGCCCAAAGAATTAATAGCACGTGAGAACAGTTTTTAATTCACGTGATCGACACTGACGCGGCACAAGACTAAATATTAATTTAGCGACTAAATATTACCACTGTAGTGATTTTCATAGTATAATTAAAAAACTTCATAATGTACAAAATTCGGTTGGCGAACTAAATGAAACAACAAGACTGATTCACTTTTTCAGTATGTGTTTCCTCGCGACGATTTTCAAGAGAAAATAAATACAAGGGTAAAGTGCGAAACTCAGATTGAAACATTCTGTTGGTCTCCTCAGTCTATTAAAAACAAGTCCTGTGTTGTTACAACCGGGGAGCAATATAGATCCTTAGTCAGTGACGGTTTTGCTCTGAGTTTAGCCCTACACCAGTGAGTTTCGCTCTTACAACGGGATGACGACCGAAATTCCCTTCCCTGCAGCGGATAATTTACCTCTATCATCTTGACGTTGTTAAATGCACTAATTTTTGTATATATAAGAATATTGTTTTTCCGGTCCAGGGGCCCGTTTCTCGAAAGCCCCGGAAACTTTTCGGGCCCGGAAAGCCATARCAAAATCTCGAACYTWACGATTACAGAGCTGTTTTRYCCACATAATCTTAATATGAACAGAGGTTCCCTTCATACAAGAAGTTTCAGGCGTATGCACTTCTCCGTTTGTAGATACAGATGAACTAAAAATGGCTTTACGGGCCCGAAGAGTTTCCGGGGCTTTCGAGAAACGGGCCCCAGGCCGGCCGATGATATTCTAACTTTTCTGCCAATTTTAGGCTGAACATATTCTTATGAATATTCTTGGATTATAGGAATACAAAGTGGACTACCGTAAACTTCCGATAGTAACGACCCCCCGAAAGTAACGACCCCCCACCTCCCGAAAGTAGCGACCCTCACGAAAGTAGCGAGTCCAGCCCCACTCCAACTCCACCTACCCGCCAAAAATACTGAACGAGACCAAGGTTTAGTACAACAGTATATTTATTTCTCCAATCAATAGTCAAGTGAACAGGAAAATAAACTTTTCTTCGCATTAAAATTTAAAACTCTTCACGTCGTTTTCAAGAGAAACGTAGCTAATAACGGAAACGTGTCAGCTTCAAAACTGAATAATTGAAAAATCGGCTTATTCTCCCATGCGGTTGTCCGGTCAAAGCAGGAGTGCGCCTGAGTTTCTATGATGTCACTGTGAAAAAAGGAAGGTGATTAAAAGAACTCCGGGAGAAACTTGTGGCTACAACAGACAACACGGTGAAGACATGTAGAGGCTACCCCATATGTTAGTAACATGAAACTGGAACAATGACGAATTTCATCTCGTTTTGTTATGAATTGCCATCTTATATTTCGTTTAAAAAAGCTCAGTTGTACCACCTTTACATAACGTTTTTTGCTACCCGAAAGTAACGACCCCCCGAAGGTAGCGACACCCCGAAAGTAGCGAGCACCAAATTAAAGGCTGCTAATTCCGAAAGTAACGAGGGTCGCTACTATCGGAAGTTTATGGTATGCCGACGGTGTTGAAGTAATTTTGGAGACAGACTGCAGGCAGTAAAGCCTAACACAGCGACAAATAACGTCTTGTGGAAATGTTATTAGCATCGAATACACGGCTGGTGCTGTGTTTGGAGTTTTTTGGCTAGTTTTGCCGCTTAGAGAAAGGAAGAATTTTATACGGCTTGGTTAAAAAAAATACATTGTAGTTACAAATTTTCAACGCACAAAATAATATTCTTTTCAAAATCAGCCTCAGGTTTAATGTCGTAAATTTCAGCCTCGATATCCTTATAAAACCAAGAGAGTGTCTCGTGATCAAACATATTCGTTTGTGAAAAAAGAGTGTGGGTCAGACGGCCCAATGCCAGGCCAGGCTGCAAAACCATTTCTTATTTCGGACTAAAACCGGATTCAAAAATCTTAAATTTTTGTGAACCTTGGCACTGCACCGCACACGTTGATACCTACTGAGCTCATGTGAGAGTATATCCCGAGGCTATCTAAAAGTGGTCTTCGAGCAGTTATTTCAGGTATAGTATTTCTTTAGACATAGTGGGAAAATGTATGGCTGTTAAAAAACAATTAACACCAACAAGTCTGAATGAAATGAATGCCGGGTCCTCAAAGGCCAAGTTTAAATGAGCAAAGTGAAGTTCAATCGAGAACCATCATATGGCATTTTTCAATTACACCCTTCTTTATGATGAAAGCATCTAAATACGAACCTTGAGAGGAACGAGGCCAGACCTGCATTATTAATGTTTTTGTTTTGATTTTGAGGCATTTAAAACTCGCGCCAGTTTTGCGCCATTTTTTTAACCGGTCGAGACTAACAAAAACATTCGTTACATCGGTGTTTTCGATGGCTTCTAAAACTAATGAGATGAGACCATTTATTCATGTATTCTGTATTATCATTTTGTAAGTGAATAAAATCATAACGTGTCTGCGCGAGTCCCCGGCGAAAGAAAGAGCCAAAAGGTCACACACTCATCACAGAGTGATGCGCGCGAAAATTGCCATTGATCGCGTGCTGATAAAAAGCGCGCGAAAGTGAAACCTTGACAACGCAGACCTGTCAAAATCAACCAATTAGCATCAAGATAAAAACCTCAACAACCAATGATAATCAGGACATGCTCGGGCAAGTTCATGAACTTTTCAAGCTTTCAATTTCCGGACAGATGCGTATCGCTTCCGTTGCTTGGGAGAACTTCAGCTGGAGCCAAACTCAGAAGGACATACACACTCCTCGCTCCGTCTCTTCACCGGGTTTGTGGTCGTTTAGTCTATGATTGTATCATAAAAACAGTCTTGCGCTGCTTAAGTGAGCTCGAGAACGGGAGAAGTATTTTTTTTGTTACAATACTGACTGAGATCGCTGTGAAATTCTCTCTAGATCAGAAACGCAAGTCAGCTTCGATCCTGCGGGTTCGAAAACTTGAACAAGAAAATCCATGCATGTGAGGTGATGCGAGCGAGGTGAAGTGACTGAAGGAGGGCTAGTGGATGGTAATGGATGGGGCCTTGCTGGAACAGAAGGCTTGGTAAGTGAAGAAATACTCACAATAACTCTTGGTGGTTAATTGCCACCTATTCCCTAAAGATTCTATCGTCAGCGTTTTGTACGAACCTTCCCTTACTATAACTGGTAGTACAGTAAAATCCTAAATTTCTTCACTACTGTTGACCCGCCTTTCCGTTTTCTCTTTTAAGCTGCTTGGTGTAAATCAATTTTTTTTATTTGCATCGGACTCTAAAAATGCTTCCAATAAGTAAGCTTAAATCAGCTAACAAGCATTTGTTTTGCAATATAAAGCTTATGGCAGTAATACCTTGGGAATCGCATGGTGAAAGCGGTACAACCATTCAGTTTCCATCTCTCCGTGCGATTACAAATTTATCCACTGTGAATATTTCGTATCGATAGACTGTTATTAAATTATCTTGCTTCTCTAAGGTTTGCACTCTCAAGAAAAGCCAGTTTATACGCTGCGATTTTTTTTTTAAAACATGAATGGACACATCACAATCGTTTCAGAGTGAAGCTTATGACTCAGAAAATATTGGGAAAATTTCGTGTTATGGAAGTGTAGATGAGAATTTTCCCGCCTTATAACTCAGACATTTAATAACATCACAAGAAATTCGGAGGCCATAGATTTTTGTTGATTTTACCGTTGTATGCGCGCTTTGGCCATTCATACCTGAACAACAAGCCTATGTAGTCACATGTAGAGAAACTTATTCCTTGTTGGTAGTGTACTTTCATTTTCGATCGAATTATCAAGCATTCACTGTGCTTAAGCTTAACTATTTTTATTCCTTGTCGCGACACGCGTATGAAATAAATCCGTGATTATATCGTAAGCCGTCGACTGATGCCGCCATAGGCAATGATGTTAAAGGTCGTTTTCCCACGCTCAAGGCTAACCTGTATCTAATTTCTTGGCATCAAAGTTTTCTCTTCCTCTCGCATTCATCAGATTACAGATCACTTTGTTTACTGTTAGCAGGGAAGAGACATGACTTGACAAAGGTTCAAGTCTCCTCTTCTCAGTTTTCACTAAGGTGACTTTGGAGTCTTGGATAAGTTTTTGGCATTTTGTTGGAACCATTGATCGCGGTAATACGATCGGCGCCCTCAAGTTGCCAATAATTTGTTTCTTCGCCGATCTTGACATTCCTTTCAGCGATAAAGCTCACAAGCTTTCGGCATTATTGGCTTACAAGCGTTCGTACATGCCGACGATGACAATGTACGCAATAAACTTTACAGCGTCAATTTCATTGTGAGCTTCATTCACGAAGACCTCGTGGCATTTGCATTTATGCATGCAGTGCTGTTGACCTAAGAGAGCTTAGTGAAAACCCAGATTATTGAGTTAACAGCCAGAAAACCCTAAAAAGATGTGGTTGATTACGAAAAAAAATACGATTGCATTCTTCCGTGATGACTACAAAAATTGTTGTATTGTGGTTTGTGACAAGCCTAGGCTTGCATAGTCGAACATGTCTAAACAAACTACAGCCCACTATGGAGAAATTACTGGCTCGCTTTGCAAAACAATCTTAAGCACCTTTGGGCTTGGTTCACTGCCCACGAATAATCAACTTGCCACCAATTGTTATCAAGTTATGCAGACCTCACTACATAAGCTTTTAAGTCAACCATTTGCCATCTGGAGGTTTTGCAGCATTTTACAGCAAGATCCACTCCTTACTTTAAAGCTCTGTCCATATGCATTTGCATAATATATTGATTGAGAGTGAAAACTTTTGGGTATTATTGCCAAAAGTCGTGTTTGTGAAATGTTGGCACTACTCTGAAAAGTGTAGATTGTATTCTTCCGTGTTTTCTGGGAAAAGCCTTTTTTGCATGATGTAACTGTGCAACATAGTATTTCTCCTAAGGGACACAAGCACTTAGTCAACATTTTTGTTCATAAAGATTAAGAGGACAGGATGTTTTTACAAACTTGAGCAGGCTTGCATCCTGTGGGTTATCGTGTTGGGTGTGGGGTATATATTTTAACAGCTATGTCATTTGTTAAACAATAATAATAGCTTTGCCTCTGCATGAAGCATAACTGGGATGTCTAAGAATCCAGTAGTATCTTCAAAGTAAAATCACTATACGCAATAATCTGATTTGGACTTCCTAAACGTACTCAAATTCTTAGTCTACATACCTTCTCTCTTGTGGTTTCCCTCATGCTTAGTGAGAATAAAGAGACGTGATCAAAGACCGATCAGCTGAAACTGTGTAGGATACAGTATAGGGAATTTTTAAACTGATTTTTTTCATGCAAGTTTATAAGATCAGATGTTTGCATTGCCCTATAGAGTACATATGTTCTGGGATAGATATATATCATCTTATTACATTCCTGATTGTCAGGCTACATGTTCATCCATATAGGGACAGAAATCTTTGAGCCAAACCTTAATCTTTCACTTGTACTTTAGTTGCTGTAAATCTACTACTAGTCATCATTTACCACAGTGGTGTAAAGTTATAATGATCAAATGCAGGAACAGGCATCTCTAAGCCTTACTTTATCAATAGCCACAAGGTTGGTAAATTTGTTCGTAAACTTGTAATTGTACCCATGCACAGATATAAAACAATTCAGAGATAGTTGTCAGCCCACATTTAATAGTCACTTTATTGGTGACTTTGTGATTTTAATACACCAATATGTACAAGATAATTAGTAATTACTCCTACACCATTTGTAGACCATTCATGCCACCAGACAGCTAATCAGTCATCTGCCTTGTGTTAATGGGCCTAGCATAAAAGTGCCTAGTTTCCGTCTTTTAACTTCTCTGTCATGGACCAAGGTTAGAGCTGTAGAGCACTAACAATATCGCAGGAGGTAAACCCCATACTTTTGCTTATATAACGTATAAATTTCTTTGTATTTTATTTCAAAACAAAAACGAAGCATTTTCATTGTTGATTTGATTAGGTGACCTTTTAATTCAACTTTGTTTGTGTTTGGGTGTAAAACAAATCAGTAAAGCCACAACTAAGTATTTTCATTCATTGAATCTATTTACGTAGTATTTTATTTGGGTTTTTTGTTGGTTATCAAAATGTTTCTCTGACCCTGGTTAGTATAAACAGAGTAGGATTTCTACATGCTAAAGAGCTACATAGCTATTGAAGGACAAGTCCAGCATTGTTTCTTTTAGTGCAGTTCTAGTTTTTACGAACACCAGATGAACTTATGACCCAGCTCCCCGGCTGTTCCTATCTAATTCCAATCAAGACATCATGGTATCTATCTCTATATACACACGACTGTGTGTGTATAACATGATGTGTGCAGTTGCATTTTAGCTGCAAAGTTCAATACTATTAAAGCTTGTTTTTATGCACAAGTTATTGTCGCTATGTTTTAAACACATTGGTTGAATGCTTTTAGCTGTGTGTATGTCAAGTTCTAGATGCACTTGAGACATTTGGAGAGCAACTCTTATGCTTCTCTCATGCTCTCCAAAATTCCCACATGCATCCACAAGTTAGTATACACACGCTAAGCATGAACCAATTCTTAATCCTAAAAACCCAACCTTTCAAGGTAATGCTATTAAGTGGTACACTCCTGTAGTGCTCCTAAAAGTGAAAACTTTTCGATTGTAAAAACAATTTGTAGTCAAGCACTTTCAGGAGGTGCAGGGATAAAGTGGAAAAGATCTTGTTAGCAGGCCAGTCTGCAACTTGTTAACTCTTATGCCCATTTAAGAAATTCAAATACTTGTGGCAGTTACTGAGATCTTTGTTTCATGTTCACCAGGTGAAACCCTCTTCACCCCTCACCCCCTCCTTCTTTTTCTCTTTCCCACCCTACCCTTAAAAAAGTAAATATACAGTATGAAAGTTCACATGCTGCAGCCTTTAACTCTTGAAGTCTTTTAGCTATTAAGAACATGATTTTTTATAATACAATAAGCACACTAGATCCGTGAATGCTTGACATTTTTGTTGTACATTTGTTATGACTGTAGAATAAAGGTTCTTCTTATAATGTATATTGTTGGCATTTTTTAAGTGTAAAAATGCTAAATACTCTTGTTTAAAGGAAGGGCCTGCATTCTATGGGCACTAAAAAAATGTACAAAAAAGTAACAAGTCTTCATGATTCAAGTGCCCTCACTGTTAAAAGAAAAAAATCTTTCCTCATTGAAAACAAATATCTTAATCAGTTAATCCATGTTTAATGCTATAGCTAGACACATTTTTATTTCTCTTATCAGTGGGATACTGATTGCGCCACAGTGTGACAGTTCCGACAATGAGCAAGGTAAATATTTCTGTTGAATCAAAGGTCTATGCCATATACATCTAGTTAATGATCTTCAGAGGTACATACAATACCTTGGTCACACACATAAATCGTACATGGCACTTACTGTCACTACTACTTTTGGTTTCTGAAAGAAGAACATTGCTGCTTCCTCTTGGGATAGCAATCGCATCTACTTTAGCCCCTATCCCAATTTACTACTCTGTTACACCCCAAGTATACCTGAACAATTAAAGAGACTGTGTGGGTGAAGTTTGCTCAAAAGGATATATCTGACTTATTGCAAGTTAGCAAATATGGGGTGTCAAACTCTTCTTTAGACCTTCAAAAATGGACATTAAACCATAGAAAGTTTAGATGTGTGTGTGTGTGTGTGTGTGTTTTTTTTTTGTTTTTTTTTTAAATTCCTGACAAATACTCCTTTAGAAATATTTCCAGTTCTTGAAAACATTTTATATCTGAAATTTTATGAAATTAGATTTTATTATTAAGGGGTCATTGAAAAAACAATTGACGTGGAAATTGAGCCTGAAGCTAGGTTGACCCCACAAACAATGTTAATGTTGAATTCAAGTTTTTCAGGACTTTCATCACTCAGTTAATGATAGCTGTTTTGATTATTTGAAGGATCCATTTGAGCATTACAGTAAAAATCAAAGACCAATGTCTAAGTTTTGTCCGAAATCACAACAATAATATACCCCATAATGAAGTGAAGTTCAATTCTTCAGAAAATTTGGAACTAACTATTCTATTCTATTCTTAAGCTATATTGGTGTGGTAATATATTAGGAGAGAGGTTTCATGACCACGACTACATTTTAGATATTAAATACAGTATTATTATCTCAAAATTACACAGGAAATTTTTATAGCAGCCCTAAGAAGCCATACAGGAAACGGAAAAGGGAATCTTTGTCAGGTAACTTGAAATCCTATGCTATGTTATGCCTGGATCTGTAGCAGAAAATAATGTTTGTATTACATTATGTTAAACAGTCTCCACAATAGGAGAGATTGAAATGGCATTTTTTAATGTTAAATGTTTGTTTTCTAAGCTCATAATTGATTTCTTCCAGAAATTATCAGGCATTGCGCCAGTCAGGTTTGAAACTTGAGCAAACTATAGTGACCTTGCTGTACTTGACACTAGCATAAGATGATATAGCAAAGTGGGTTAATTTACCCCACCTCCAAGATAAGGACCTGGGCTCTAGAGTATCATTTGACATTGTTCCATCTTGTACTTGTTTAGTTCATTCATCATTCCATGACCAGAATTGAAGATTAAATGCATTCTTGTGAAATGGATGGACTTCTATCTATGTAATAGCTTATTACTGGACTCTCTTTTGGGTCATATTGCTGCATTTCAACTTTAAAAATGTTGTAAAATTCAAACTGCAGTGTTAAGTGTTTTGTCTATTTTTCCTGTGTAGATGTTTTTGGTGTAAAAGGCAGTTACAGTCCTCATCGGCAGATTCCATGGTGCTTGGGGTTCAGGTCAGCAGGAGCATCAGAGAGCGAAAGCGACCTGTCGGAGCAATCCAACACGGTGTACTTTGTCAAAGGCTATGATTCTGCTGTGACTGCCACTGTAACTGACTCTGAGGACGACCTGTTTTTTCTCAGTGGTAAGTACAGAGTCCCTTCTCAGTTTCAAAGTGAGAATTAAAGAAAGTGAAAAGTAGGCATACATGCAGGCATGTATCTGGGTAGAATGACCTAGATTCATGCCATACATTTTCCTCATGAAGTTGAAAACGGCAAATCTCTACTTGGGGTTCTACAATAATGTGCATCGCCTAACTTTGTAGACAAATTAATTTTCCAAGGAAGTCATTTTTAGCATTCCAGAATCTGCTTTAACTTAAGTGAGGAAAACACATAAGCAGCTGCAACTTTCCCGATTGAAAAATGTTATGTTTTGTTGCATTTAGAAACAGTGGAATATGAGCCACCTGATTCTGATAGTGATGACGTAGAAGAAGAGGAAGAGGAAGATGAAGAAGATGACAGTACGTGACAAGTAGATGCACTTGTTCATACAGTAAACAATGAATCTGGACTCTCTTGCAAGAAGAACAAATCATCAGGATGTTCTAAATTTAAGCAGAAAGCATACCTTAAATCCCTGAATTAGCGCACCCCCCTCGAATAAGCGCCCCCTTCGAATAAGCGCCCCTCCTATTGGCCGAAATTTAAAATAAGCGCCCCCCTCCCTCCCCTCCCCCCATTTTGTCAATGAGTAATGAGACAACAGAGGATGTATAGTTTTTGTCATGTAGTATCAGATTTGTACATTGTTTCAGTTTGTGAACACTTTAAGTGAACACGTTAAACGCGTTAAGTACTAAACTTTGAGATCAGCTGTTTCAGTAAATAACGTATGTTGTTGTTTACGCACAGATGATGTATTAAAAAAGTGATCATGTCAGGCCACGATTTAGGAAAATTAAATAAGTGCCTGCCCCCGCCCTCCACCCCCTCGAATAAGCGTCCCCCTGGAATAAGCACCCGTGTCTTCTCCTAAATTTGAAATAAGTGCCCCAGGCACTAATTTGAGGATTTACAATATTCCTTGAGTATTCAACACTGAATTTGTCATTACAACTTTAGTGAGTTGTGTTAAAGGTAAAGCAATGAAACTTGCAAATACTGCCAGAGGCCAAAATATATCTTGCAGAGAAGAAACTTCCCTATTGGGGGGCTATTTTTCCTGTTCCACACAATATGGCTCTTTTATGGCCTTACTTGCTATATTATTTTTTTGTATTTTTTATCTGAATTAGTTGTTATTAGCTCAGACGAGGAAGATCCCGGCGCTGAAGGTGGAGACGAATATGAAGGTGACAGGGAGTCTGATTCTGAAATTGACGAAGATGACTTGTGGGCATGCTCACAATGTAACTTGAAAAACCATCCAATGTCACGCCAGTGTGCTCGTTGCTGGACTGAGAGACATGAGTGGCTTCCGCACTTGAAAAGGCAAGTGTACTCTGCAGTGTATTCAAATCCTTTCATAAGCAATTCAGTGTTTATTTTGTAGGAATATTTATAATTATCCCTACAGCATCAATACATTTAACATGCAGGTAAATGCCAAAATATCTGAACTAATGTTTGGGAGTCATTGACAAAAAGAGCTATTTTGGACTAAAAACTATTTCAGGAGTATTTTGAATATCAAAGGGACTAGTCAAATTATATCAGGGAGGGAGTTCTCAAAAAAAAAGCTTGTAGTGGACAAAGTTTTGTTACTTATATTTGGTTAAAGTAGATGCCTGTGGAAGTGTGCAGAACTCAGGAATGAATTAATTGTGTACTTTTTTTTCAGCAGGTTGGCTTCAGAACCTGCCATGAATTTGTCAAGAGTAACAGACATGCCTAGGTCGCCATCCCTCCAAAAATCATCATCACTTGCTGTTGCACCAATGATAGAAAATCCTTGCTCATCATCATTAGATTTAGTGACACTCAAGCAACAAGACAATTCTGATTCATTTGTTACAGGTTCCTCTGCATCAGCAGAGGGGAATTCTCAAGGACAATCACATTCCACAAGACAAGTATCAAGTACTGAAAATGCTGAACAGACTATAACACAACACTCTGAAACTAAACCCTCTGAGCCAGCTTTTACACCAGACTTGTGCGTCATTTGCTTGACGCAACCTCGAAATGCAAGCATTGTTCACGGACGTACCGGTCATCAAGTATGCTGCATTGGTTGTGCAGAGAGACTAAAGGAAGGTAAAAAGAAATGCCCTGTTTGCCGCAAGAAAATCAAGCTTGTGGTGAAAAACTTCTTCTAGTTGATGTACATCTCCTTCAAGACCTTTTATCTCACTGGCAGAATTTTTATGTGCATGTACTGTGCATGTGTTGAAATTCTGTACAGAGTTCCGTTTGTATTCCAGGGCACAGTTGGTAATGTAGGTCTATTGTATAGTTTGACTCATGCTTAACTACATGTATACTTCCCTCTTATTGGCACTCAACTCAAGACAACTGTTCTTTTCCCTTCTCAACTAAGAATGTTAACACACCATACACACATTTTCCACTCATGTGAATTTTTCCACTTATCAGAGAGTACTTCATTTTATTTTCCAACGGTAATTTAATTGCCGAAATGTTTCAAACAACTACTACATGTAACCTAAAAGGTTATTTTCAAACGGGCATTTTCTTTAAATTGAATTTGCAAACAAGCTAAGATACAGCATGGTAGTCATGTCCAGATGCCAAGGTTGATGACAGGACCATTTCTTGTGAACCCTTGTATGTACATAGGCTGGCTGGTTTGCCCTTTGGATTTCCTTGTTGTGAGACACCTTGAAGGCATTCCCCTTAGCCTGCTCTGCTAGGATAGCATCATAAAGTCCACCATCATGGGTCCCTCCCGTATGTTTGATTTAGTATCTCATGTGACTTCAGAAATAAGCAGAAGACAACACAAAATATTCCAAAACAGTAAAGGTATGCTAAAATGGTGCCATACCTACAAAGTTGCTGAAGAAAGTATAAAATATCAACAAAATGACAAATAATGACTGCTTGTCAAAACTTGGTGGCTATGGCAGCTTTGTGACCGGTGGGCAAGCGGATAGATGATCATCCAAGTCTGAGTGAGTTGTGGAGGGGGGGGGGGTGCATCTCGTCTTTTATGTTGGTTAGGATGAACATGTAGTGCTCATGTTATGTGGCTAAGGAAGTCACTTTACTCTCACTGTGCCTCTCTCCACCCTGGTATTGCACATCAAAGAGGCAGATCTGAGTGTGTATATTTTTTGAAGTGAGGTAGAGATCTTGTGAATTCTGATTTTGCTGGGACCAAGGGAACTGTCAGAAATATAGAGGTGTCTGTATTATGGAGAGGTTTGCCTGTCATTGGATACCAAAAACTGTTAGGGTATCCTGACAATTGCTTTGGGGGGGGGCGGTAACCTCAGTGTTGTGGACTGGCAGGGAAGTAGATATAGTCATGATCACTATGGAAACAAATGACAAGTGTTGGCCCTATGATTCCATAAGGATTTTCTGAATATCTAAATAACTGATAGGGTATTCTAGTGATCACTGGTTTAGTTTCATAACTGACCTCCATGTACAGTGGATAATTTAATTGAGTAGTAATAATTTAAAAACATTGATCAGCAAGACAGGACAGCCATGGGTATTAAATAATATTATATTAAGTATTGCATAAAATTATGTTTTTGAACATTGATGTAGTTTCCATGTGGGAACACATTACATAATCTTATTGCTTTATTTGTTTTTGAGAATTTTGTTTATCGTGAATGACTGGCTTAAATTAAGCAAAGTTTTTGTAAACGTTCTTGAAAACTTTCAAATGGTAGATAACTCAATATAATTTTTTACCATAGATATTTAAAAGTATCAATCTGATCAGTAAGCTGTGTACGTATGGTGTATACCGGTATACCGGTATACAACACCTGACAAACAACCACACAGCGCTAGTTGTATTTGGGATATTTTGGAGCATACATTTTTTGGATTAAGAAACATGAAAGGCATCTAGCTTTTATAGAATTTGCAGCTGTATAACATTTTTAACTGAAGAATTATTTTTTAGTCAAAATGTCAACAATCAACAAGAGTATTTTTAGTGTCTTTTTATTTCTTTTGTTTTGTTTTGTTTCTTTGACCCAGTTTAATCTGCTGGTTGAAACATAGGTAAAATTATTAACTCACTGATGTTGTATTGGATATACGTATAAGTGAGGCTCCATCCATGTTCCAGTAGAGAACAAAATTAACTAAATACTTTTTTACAGTACTTCACAAGTTTTGTTGGTTCACAGTGAATCCCATTAATTGGAATAATAACTCCTTTGTCAAATTGAGTCAAGATAAAATAGAAAGTTGAAAGTTCTTGTCTTGGAATACATCCTGAGAAACAAGAGACCATCTCAAAGAAAATGCTGTATGCTGTATTAGGGTAATGTAGCTCGCAAATTAAAACTTGTTGAATTCAGGGGTATGTCAAAAGCAAATGCATTATCAAGCATAGCGCACCTCGACAGAAATATATGTGCTAATTGCTACATCAGACATTTCATGGAGTACATATCAACATGAACGCAAACCTCTTTCGTTGTAAATGGAGTTTTCAAGAATTTGCTCTTTTTTAAGAGGCTCACAAGTATTATTTATTATAAGATGTAATTCATTTTATAGATATTAATAGGTGTTACATGTACATAGTTTGGATGATAGCTTTGAGCAATTTTTTCCTTTGATTTCATATCACTCATGAGAATGCCTTTGTAAGGTTAATTGTGTACACCGCGTTATGGAAATGTTTTTCATTTTTGGGTTTCTTGTTTATATCAGCAAATCTCGGATTGCTACATTTTGTTTTTAAAACTTAATGCATTATGTAGCAATTCAACATTTGCTGCTCAGTTTGTGAATCAAATCTATAGAAATCATGGTAATATTCATCTAGATGATAGGACTTGGTATGGTGCAACCTCAAACATGCTCCGTTTAGTGAAGCAGAATTCAGTTTCTCCGAATATTTGGTTGCACTGTATGAAAAAGTTCTCAAGGACTTAAAGAATAAATTTACAGTGCAGTTCAACATTATGTGTACTGTAAAGTTCTTTTTTAAATAGTTTGCAGGTAATGCATTTTAATTGGTTTAGTTTCAAGTAGTACCAACGTGAGATATGAAATATATTTTTAAGTGATAGATTCATGAGGACAAAATATATATTTTGTTATGTATAGTGTAACACAAGCTAGTTGACAGAACTTTACTGTAATGTAGAGAGTACAAAGTGTCAACTTGGCGTGGCTGAACTGTCTTGCTGATAAACATGAATTAATTTATTATCACTGTCTCTAATGGAATAATAAGTTAAGGTATGCAAATTGACCTTTTTAGGTCCTAGTTCAAACTATTTTCCTTAAGGCCGCCATACATGTTTTTTTTGTTAGCACAATGTCCTGATTTAACGCGAGTTAAATGCTGCAAAAGTTTAATTTTCGCGGAATAAATGAACACTTATGCTTTGTCTAATTTCAGTACGATGAAAAGGTGATTCCAAACTGAGAATCGTTTTTGTTAGGTCTTTGACGTGTAATGAACACAACCAAAATTGTAGATGTCAAAGGAACGATTGGGCCGAAGAAATTACCTCCTTGGTGATTGAGCGAAAGCAGAAAGGCAATATATTTTGTTTTGATTGCCCTTGGCATAGTCTACAGCTGACAGATATTAACAGGTCAACGTTAGAATTTGAACGGAGTTTCAACTTAGGGTGCAAAACGTTTTAGAAAGGATGTGTTCTGTAGATGTAGGCTGTGTTGGTGAGAACGAATTTTAGCTATTTCCTGTTGTTTGTAGAACTCGCAGAGGCCTTGCTAGAACAAAAGCTCTCCCACAAAAGCCTTTTCATTTGTGACGGTATTAGATGCAACCAGAGGAACGACAAGACAGTTTAGCATTCCAACTAGTTACATAACTTTGCATTGCAAGGCCTCTGTATTACATGGACAGTTAGTTTCTACTTTTGCCTTTCTTTCTGGCAAGCATTCCAGTGTTTTGAATGTTCTTTACACGAAGAATACAACATTACAACCACCATTGTTTTACAGGAAGCCGCAAGTATTGTTTTGTTTGCTGTCATTTCTGTCTATTGTCAACAGCATGAAAACCTTTTTGTCTTTGTGTTGGAGACATTAATAAACTTGAAGCGTGGTGGAACGTATCTCAAATGTGCGTGATTTATGCTTAATTGTAGAGTTTGACGAACGAGAAACTTTGACGTTTTGTGAGAATTTCCACAACTTTTTTTAGCTCCACCGAACTTTTTCCGATGACGTGTAATTTCTGTGGGCTATTTTGTAAACTTTTAAAAAGTAATTCGCTATAAATATTGTAGCAATATGATCTTCAGAGTGAGCATTCATCGCTGTCGTGAATTTGGAAACGTTGGCAACGGTTAGCCTTATTATAAAGCCCTGGCCAAACCGACTCGCAAGTAGACGCAACTTGAAAACTTGGGTCCATTGCTACTTGCAAGTCCGTTTGGCCACGGCTTTAGTTAGAGCACTATTTGAACAACAAAACAAAATCTTTACAATCTTTTCCCACGCCCTTATCCTGTTTGACTTCCAATTCTTTCCTTTTTCTGACCGGGGCGCGACAGGTCAAGTGTACGTGACGTCACTATCGCGAGCTCATTACATCCTCGTTGCCAGGCTCTCTCCTCTGCCTCCCTTGGTCGTTGGAAACGAACAAGGAAGGCAGAGGACAGAGAGCCTGGCAACGACGTTGATTAAACTGGGGAACGATTTCTGGGCAACTGGGTCCTCGCGCTCGTGCCAGTCCTACACCGTATTTACACATTACACGACACAAGGCGTTTGATCTGAAAATTAATATAAAATACTTTTAATTCTTGCAAACCCAAGGCTAAATGTGAAAATAAATATTTTTCGCCATTTTCTAGTCATTGCGCAATAAGTTTCAAGAAATGTTCTCTTCTAAGCTAAGGGTTAAAGGAGCTCATAAACGATAAGGGAACAAGAATGGTTAAGGATGGAAAAAATTAACACGAATTACAAACGACGAGCTTGAAAAATTTAGGCTAACATTTTTAAGATGCGCAAACGGTGACGTTGCTCCATTAAGTAAAATATCAAGGTAAGAGTGAAAACAATCAGTTCATTTTCCACTGTATTCAGACTTACCGAGATTTTGAAAGATGTGAAAATTGTCTGCAAATTAATTTGCGCGAAATAAAACACTGCCAATCAGCCCTCTTTCAAAACGTCAGTGAATTATAAAACTCCGGAAGAACACTTAACAATAGCCTTTGACTTGTTCAGGAAAACAAATGCTTAAAAAGGAAAAACGGCTATCACTACTACATTTGATATTGTAAACCTGCTATTAATTGCTGTGTGTCTTCTTGGGTATATTTTGCTTCAGCAAAGAACGCCAAAACTGCATTTAGTTTTTTGTTTTTTATCGGACTTATAGACGGTAAGTGGGGATTTTTTGTGTGTGTGGAGGTAAGGGGGATGTATAATTTTTCCGCTACAATTCCTAAGCTTAATTAAACCATTTTGCCCGAGAGGCCATGCACGGAGTACAGTTTTCCCGATTCCGTAGATACACAAATTGGCCTGCGAGACGAGATCTTCCTGAGCTTTCATTTTATCATTCCCGCATGAATTCAGTAGGATTCTGCAGTTGGTTCGTCAAGAAGGGCATTGCAGGACTGGATTGTTTAAATTTTAAGCGCTATATTTGACCTTGTAATGTTCTGCCTTACGCAAAGCCTTTCCTAAAAACAATTTACTGATAAACAAGTGTTTATGTTCAAAATATATTCGCACCTTCCCGCCTATCGAGAAAATACCAAATTCTGCATAGAGGACATAAGAAAGCATCGACGTATTGTTTCTTTATTTTATGAAAAACCGAAATTATCGTATTTGATTTTATTACAAACAAATATGACTAGGAAAAATATCGCACCAATGTGAATTGCTAAATGGGTATGTCCGTTTTCTCAGAAGTCTCTTTTTCTTTGCTTTAGAATTATTTTCTTTTGAGAATGTCCTTGCCTTTTGAAAACTATTTTGGAGAGTCTTTTTCAAAACAACATCATGTCAGTTTATAATGGCAATTGATAAATCCAAAAAAGAAAATTAGAAAAACTGACTTAAGTCTAATTTTAGGAAATAAACAGCTGCTTCCAAGTTTTTTGTCCGCACTTCAACAATTACTCATTGAAAATTTGAATTAAGTCCCTTTATTGTTTACAACAAATGGACGTTTTTTTTCAGTTTATGTTATCAACAACTCGTACAGGAGAAAGAAGAGTTTTGAAATAGCCTTCAGTCGAGTGACGATCCCGCGAAAAGAGTGAGGGTCGATCCCGCAAGAAACGCGGGAAAAGTCGGAGCCTTGAAAATTAGAATCAGGATTATAGTCTGACATTTAACTAGCTCTTTATTCAAAGTACTTGGCAGATGGTTTGTACAAATTAAAACCAATAATCCCTTCTTTTATCAGTCATGTCAAAACTAGCAACAAGATCTAAAGCACGATTATTCCTGAAAGAAATTAATGACAGTCAGCTAATCCTCGAGGCTTAAAAATAGCGCATGTATTACACAGTATGGCATCATGCAAACACCTTGATATACAACAACTCTATAAACATCATATATTATTCACGACCAACTGCTGTTTCATTGGTTCAGTATGTATTTCCACGTCTTTGGCTGACAACCAAGCAATCCCCTAACCGAGGGCAGGCTAAGATCGACTAGAATTCGAACCATACAAGGCTTTGATAACAACTAGGAACATTTGGCGCAGGTTTCTGAGTTTACGCGTTTACACTAAAAGTAATTTTCTCCAAACTTCTTATTGTCTCTACTACTGTTCCTTATTTGTCTTTTAAAAGTTAGCTTTTAAGCGCTTATCAGATAGTATTTGACTTGTGATTCTCAACAGAATATTTTATACTCTGCCTCTATCCAACTCAAACGGCTGAGGTTATACAGCATCGCTAACAGTTCTATAGCTAGCTTCATTTTATTTCTCATTTGATGCTTTTCAGACCTTGTTGTAGATAGCTACAACTTATAGGTACACGCATGAGAATATTTGTCAACACAAGAAGCAAGAATTATGGATAATTCGAGAGCAAAGTCACCCAACATTGGAAATGTTTTGAATGCAAGAAGACTTGCGAGAAGGAAATTACAAAGAAGTGCGAGACGGGATCGAGAGAAAGTAGAAGCAGAAAAAAAGGTAAATATTAATACATAACAAATAATGTATAAATATAGCCTTCAGTAGGAGATGAATACAGTGAACGGAACAACTTTGTAGCAAAGTCTTTTACGAGTATTTTTCTGTATTTTCTCAATTAAACGGCGCCCCCCGACATTTATTTCAAACTCTGTTTCAAACTTGGCTGTTTTGATCCGGCGTTTATTTGACTTTTGTAATTTATTCGAGGCTTGGAATTTATTACAGTTTTTATTCAGTTTTATGAGCTAAATATCTTATAATTATACCTTAAGTTTACTATTCCGCGAATATTAATTTCTTGAGGGTTTTATTTACAAATCTACCTGGGAGACCCGGCGTTTCATCAAGGAAATACGGTATTGGTAACTGCCGTAACTTATTCGTGTCAAATCATCAAAAGATAGATTACTAATTAAGAAACCTTTATCTGCAAATACACAAACGATTCAAGTAATAGCGAGGAAGATTATTTTGAATATTACTCCATAAAAAAATTGTTTGAGTTCATTATAAATTTCTCAAGTATAGTATATTACTGAGGACACACGCATGCGTACTGAGCTGCAAGCTTACAATTAAATTTAAATTGTGAGATGCTTACCTGTGGAAGAATTAACTAATTAAGTTTCAAACAAAGCTTAATGTAAAAACTGCTAGTAACGTCCGTCGTAAAACTATTTCATTTGCCGCATCCTCGACAAAAATCTATGAATTAATTAGTCCTTTCAAGTCTAGGAAAGCCAAGCGAGTTGTGTAACTCTAGAGTAAGGGAGATTCCGAAAACTGGGGGAATGTGAAGAGAGCTCGGCGACTGTTGTTATGTATTATGGAATATAATCAAGCGTACAAAAAGATACTGAATTGTGCGCATGCTTATAAGTTAGTGAAAAATAGATAGATCCATAAGCATTAGGGATCAGCAGAAGAGAAAATCATCTTGATTTCACTGAGTTCAACGAAATGAGAATCTTGGTAGGCCGCCATATTCGTATTCTCGGTATTAGACTGGAACTAGTAGCTTGCGATGGAGGTTCACGAGGGGGAATTTTCATTTGCATTTGAAAAGACTCCTCGCTTTAGCCTCAGTTGCAAGCTAGTTTCAGTCCACTACCCAGAATACAAATATGGTCTATTGAATATGTACGGAGCCTTTGTTTGAATAAACAAGAAACAGTCTCCAGTTTAATTTAAAACAAGATCCATGATGCTAAATAAACTTGAGTAGTATAACTTTCAAGTTACTATCTTTCTTTCAAAAAAAAACACAAACAAACAAACTCAAGCTTATAAGAAAAACGTCGGACAAAGAGCGTGTGAAATTCAGTACGTAGATCAACTCATATTGGTCTCATATTGTTTGTCTAAAATGTGTTTACCTCATTAACGTATCTTAATTCAAATAACTCGATTTAATTAAACGTCAGCGGAAAGTCAAAATGGTCCAACAAAAGAAGCTAGCAATCGTTGTGAACGACGCAGAGGAAAGAACTTTTTATGATTAGAAAAAAAAACTGAACAGCACAAAACAGAACATGGGGAGTTTGCTCGATATCCGAGCTACAAAGATACCTCTCGAGAATTAAGCGGAACTTGATTTTTGTAAGTCGACGACTTTTAAAAAGATCGGACTAAGTAAGTCAAGCTAAGCAGGTTAAGGGGTGTTGTTAAATTTGAAGTTTCAGAGTTGTGAGTCAAAACTTAGAAATTAAATTCGCGGAAATTAAGGCACCACGGACGCTGAAATGTAATTTCCTTAAGGTGTGTTCTCCATAAAACCAAATGCACGTGATAAATGACCGTTTGCGATTTACAGAGGACGGGCTAATAACAAGTGTACAAAAATTACGTCTTAAAGCACAAGCAGCCGGAATCATGAAACCGCGTCCTCTTTGGATTGACAAGATATACCTGGCTTAGCATAGCCATCGCAGAGGAAATAAATTTTTATGATGAGAAAAAAACAGCACAAAACAGAGCACAGGCAGATTACTCGATATACGAGGTACAAAGACATCTCTCGAGAACTACGCCGCGGACATGAGGTCTATATGCCATGCAGTTTACAAAAGCAAGCGTGAAACAAATCAACTTATTACTTATCAAAACCATTCAAATTACGCTAATGTTTGTTTAAAACACAATGCGATGTTCCAACAAATTGATCTGTCGTTGAAAGCTGTCAATAATTCAATTGTTCGGCTTAATTGGACGCTTAATGAAAATGAAAAAACACCCTCATTCATCTCGTAACGCATTGTTCGACAACAGCCTTGCTGTTTAACATGGAGCATCGCAGAAACTCAAAAAAGTCGAAAAAAGGATCAGGCATTTTGAAGAAACGCGTATCTGTAGCCGTCAAACCCGTTGTTGTTGTCGTCGAGAAAAAGGTAAGTTCGCAGTTCAGAAGTTCGTTCAACGTAACTGCTTGATCGGAATATCTCTGTTTACAGTCGTTTAATTTCTTCCTTGACGGACATGCAAACTGTGGCTTTCTCTAAGCTAGGAGTGCATCAAAGAATATACTCTTCGTTAGAAGACACCACCTTGTCAGATCGGACAGCTCAGTCAGTTTACATTCCTTTGGCCTCTAGCTAGCTACACATTTGTTCTTGAATTGGCCCAATCAATACAGACAGTTCGTCAATACGGACATTTCTGGTGGTCTTAACGCTGTCTGTAATAACGGGGTATAACTGTACTACCTAGAGGTACCCCGGGGGTTACCTGGGCGAAACCAGTCATGACTACGTACCTAAGAGCAATTATTGGTTGGGGTAAACTCTCCCTTCACTACCCAGGACGGGTTTTATTTATTTTTTATTTATGTTTTGTCTTTCACCAAGCCGCTTTAACACCCCCCCCCCCGCCCCAAAAGAAACAATACCATAGGAAATACATGATTGACCCACTCAATATGCAGTGTTTACATTAAAGAAAACTTGTCATCAGAGAGACCGCGCGTGCGTGCCAGCAGCGTTTATTCTTGTAACGTATTTGTGTAAACAAGTTGTCAGCGACAACCAAAAGTCCCAAGTAGCGGATCTCTGACAAACTTGACCCCCGTCCTCTGCCCCGACCCCTCTTTCCCATCCCCCTGCCTCCGCCCTTTAAGCAGATCTGTATTCTCCCGACTACACCCCCTTCGATTCCCACCCTTTCAATTTGCAAATTCGGTGCGATTTATATTCAAGATAAAAGTTCGACTTGGAAGAGAACAAAGTTCACTAGAAATCGTCATGCGATCGCGTTTTATCAGCATTATTGTCTGCTGGTTTTGCAGAAATTTTTGGCAAAAAAAGTTTTCGGTAAAAAAACAGAAACCAAACTTCAAGAAAAGGCCGACTCTGTTTCAGAGGTTCCTAAGGGGCATCACCACGATCAGGCCCCTATCCTTTCGAACGACTGGTACTCTTTATCAAATTTCTCATTATCACCAAACAAAAAGGAAGAATTTTGTGGGCTATTCAAGACTTACCGTTTTCAAAAGATAGTCGGCATTTTGGCTTTCTTATAACTTCTAACAACACTAATTAGTTGCTCATAAAAACAGTCAGTTCATTGGGTGATTCACTGGACCCATTGTTTCTATTGTTTGATGAAGATAAATCAAGCTATTTTGTTTTACAAAGCTGCCGAGCAAAGCAGCTTTGGGCACAATCGGCCGATCGGCTAATTATTATTAATTACACCGATAATTTTAGTGGTGCCGAAAAGTCTGAAGCGTCACAGTCCAGTTTAGCAAAGATGCAATAACTTGCGAACTGCTTATTGAAGACGTATGGACAGTTTAGAAGTTCCACATAGCTTTAAGCGCGGTAAAAGCCCTCTTCAGCGTGTTGTAAAGAAACGAAGCGAGATTTCGGTCAAGGTTTGTTTTGTTTTTTAGTCTCATTTGTTTTTATTTTCAGTCATGCAATAACCAAACATTGAATTAACTCAAGATGACTTTCAAAAGTTTGATTGTTTAAAATTGTTGTCATAAGACGAGTGCTCTGATTGGATGCAGCACAGTAGTTTTGACATATTGAGTTTTCTTGGCTATACTTTATAACAGAATTGAACTCGAAGATGGCCGCTTACTTTTTACATTCACTGGTGAAACACTAACTCAATTTAGGAGAATTGGAAAATACTTTTTTAAACCCTCCATTGGGCTTTACATTCTTCACAGGTTGAGTCTCAATTCTCCTAAACTCCCTTTCCTGTTTGCATTAGGTTTGAATTAGGTTGTGTAAACAGGAGCGTAATTCTAAATGTCTAGGAAAAGCTCAAGTTTTAGTTGTATCATGTTTTATTTCATTGATTTTCTCAGACTGTTGCTGAAGCGTTCTTCCTTTTCATACCCCTCCCCTAGTAGAAAAAAAATCTGCTCGGGTTTCGTTGCATAGCAACGTGTCTCCCAGGAGTGAGGCAGCATTCAAAGATGGCGGACGCGAAGAAGTCTCGATCGGCTATTCGAATTAAATCTTCCGAAAAAGAAAGGAAGAAATCCGCTTCGAAACGAGACTCTGCCACAACAAGAGACAAACACAAATCCGTTAGTAACTTAAATTTCATGTCTTTCCTAGAAAGTGCTGGTAAACGATGAGTTGTTTATGGTTGAAAAAATGATCTTCAACCAAGTTCGATGGTCTCGATATGTTAACTTTTTTGTGGATGATATAATTTATGTACATCGATCTTAAGGAGAGATTGTTCATAAAGAAAAGTTAATTTATGATTTCTTTGACGTTTAGGAAGTAGAATATGAAAGTTTGTGAAAATTTGGTTTATCAATTAAGTTTAAGCTTAAGCTTATAACATGCTTAATTATTTGCATCGATGAACTCCTACACGAAGTTAAAAGCTCATAGCTCTTTTAGAAAGAATCGAGTGTAGGCTTGGTGCACTAGTTTATTATTTGGTGGAACTCGTTTTCTAGAGATTTCAGAATACATAAACCAATCTTAAAGTTATAAAGTTGCAAGAATGAGGTAAACATTTGTCAACCATGCTTCTCAATTTGTTACAAATGTAATGTTCTTTCGGTTCACAGGAGGAAGAGGAAAAAGAGTCGTTAGCATGGAAAGTCTTGTCAGAAGAACAAACTCAGGCACTAAAGGAACTTACAGTGCATGAGCTAGAAGTGTGAGTGGAGTTTATTACTGTACTTAAGTTATATGTATGTATATGATCTACAAGGGTCAAGACGATTCGCTGTTGAACCATATCTATCATGTGATGTTCAGAGTTGCAGAAAGTTGTCAATATACTGATCAGCATTGATAAATGGATTCATTTAACATTAAATAATTTGACCCATTTGGCTTTCATGAGGAATTGCCAAGTAGTCATAATAATTACAATTAATAATACACCATACATAATAACACATAATACATAATAGTGGTACATACATTACAATTAATAATTACAAAGAGACAGACATCAATTTGTACAAGGAGTGCTTTTCCAGAAAAAAATCCATATCACAGCTCTCCAATGGATGATTTAGACATTTCTTGGAACTATGCGTTATTAAATCAATCAATCAATCAGTCAATCAACCAACCAATCAATCAAAACTGCCAACTGATTATCCCTATAGGGAGCCCTCTAACTGTGAACACCTAATAAAAAAACATTGTTTCAGGAATTTAGGGTGTTAACAACACTTCGTTACTGATCAAGCTTTTATTTACATAGTATCCTCCCCTGATCCCTGTTACAAACATGAGAAAATACTAGACATCTCCAAACCTTCTTGGGGTGTCTTATAACACCTGGTACAAAGAAGTTCATACTATTCATCAGAAAAATTTCAGATTTTTTAATGGTGAGATAAAACATGTTAGATATGAAAAGGCAGATTTCCTCAAAAGCTAAATAAACTAAATCCTCTATTGAGCCCCTGTTCAAATAATCCCCGCCCCTCTCTAATGAGCCCCCCTTTTTCCGAGGAAGAAAGTTATTACAGTCTGTAAACCCCACCTTTCTTTTAAGCCCCCCTCCCCTTCTCTCTTATTCCACACAATTAAGTTAATAAATGAGAGACTATATTTGTAATGTAATCACAACTGTAACACTTCATGTGGACTGATCTGGCATGGTCTATTCAAGTGCTGAGAGTTCGAATTTGTTTTTGATCTTGGACTGCATGACCTTCAACTTGATGTGTTTGAACTTTTTCACTTTGTGTTCTGTTTCTTTATGGAGAATTGATACCATCCTCTGGCTTTTTGAAAGAGTAGTATAGTGGTATTGTGTTTTGCTAGGAATTAAATAAGGCCCCCTTCTGAAATACTTGATAAAAGTGGTTTGGAGGTATCTTGTGTTATGTTTATATAGTTTTTATGTTCAGTGCATTGATAAATCTTAATTTTATTCTAGGAAACTGGCTGAAGTGCTCTCTATTGAAAATTATCACATCTCTCTACCAGAAGCTTGCATATTGGATTATTATGTGGCAGGGTTTTGGTATCCTTTGTAACAAAA